ACAACAAAAATGTAAATATATAGTTGTGTGTGTGTGTGTGTGTGCGCGCGCGCCTTCAAGTCATTGCTGACTCCTGGCGACTTCCTGGACAAGTCCCTGCAGTTTTCTTGGCAAGATTTCAAAAGTGGTTTGCCCTTGCCCACTTCCTAGGGCTGAGGGAGATTGACTGGCCCAAGGTCACCCAGCTGGCTTCATGACTAAGGTGGGACTAGAACTCATGGTCTCCCAGTTTGTAGCCTGGTGCCTTAACCACTCCACCAAACTGGCTCTTAAATATACAATTGCAACCCCTATTACTTACCTCCACTGGATCTAAAAGTACTGCTGGGGCTGGGATCTTGTTTATTTCTGCAGCCTTCCGAATAATAGCTTCAGCTTCTCCAATTCTTCCTTGAGAGATCAGCCACCGAGGAGACTCAGGAATAAACCTGTAACAAGTCCAGATTATCTTGTTGCTTTTTTCCATAAGTTGGTACCAGCACAGTGGCTGAAATGGTTTTCACCTAGTTGTGATTGGGGAAGCCAAATGTCTGGTCCATTTGCATACAGGGGGCATGTAAAGGCATGTATCAGGGACAGCAACTAACTCACTGCACTGTGTTGCTCATTAATGATCTGGGAACTAAACTCAGAGAAAAATATTCTTTAAAAAAGAAGAGTATGCAGATGCCAGATTTTCCTCCTTTCAAGGCAACTTTTTTTGTTTAAGAAGACCTCATTTTTGATATGAACAGATAAACTTTTGAGAAAATACTGGCTAGGTTCTAACAGGACAATGTATGTTTATTCATGTATATAATCCACTGAACTGGGATAGGTGGACTATGAATGAGTTTATAGTAAAATAAATAGATTAGAAATTTTAAAAATGTAAAATATTGCTTGCTTACTTTGTTGTGCTAAACAATGTGATCTTCATAATAATATGGAACATACTGTACCAAGGCTTTAATTACATTCCAAAGGTAGTATCAAATAATCTCAAATAAAACTGTAGCCTTCTAAAGCATATTTGCTTAGAAGTGAGTATCATACAGATAGCGTTTCTCTGATATGATGCTAGCCCAGACTGAAAGTCCACAGGGACCCATATAAATGTTATATAGGAGCAAACATATGTCAATAAAATGTTCTTCCTTCCATCCTAATTTCTTTCCTTGATTAATAATTTCACAAATGCTTCAGATATATTGTATGCCTATCCTGCTTTTTATAATTTGGAGAAAATGACAATATATGGTATGGAAACCTGTAATACTAATTCTCTGCAGGAATTATTTAAGACTTCATGAAAGATTCAGTATACTAAAATGACAGATGACATCTCACTGATTTTAATAAAAGCTGTTGTGTAAATCTACCCGAAAGAGATCACAAGTTTAATTTATAATATGCAAAATGATACATTAGAGGAGCCATGTTATGATTTCACCAGAAGAATCCAATTAGCAAGATCTTGTGTTTAGGGTCAATCAATCTGTATGTCCCCTTGATGACAGTTTCTATGTTTCTTCATAAAGTATCATTGTATTTTTTTAGAAAGGGAAACTATTAAAATGTCCAGAGAAATACATCATGAATATGATAATCCAGTATCTCTAAAGACTTGAATGCCTACTGAATGATAAATATTACTTTTTCAACAAGTGAGAAATATTAATATAATTTGCTTATAATAGATATCATAATATAGAATATCTAATACAAAGCAACAGAATTTCATAGGGACTTCTGATTTTACTGAAAATTTTAATAAGAAAAACATTTATTTTTAGTTTGTGTGGTACAGTATTGGTCACAGAATATTTTTTTATCCAAGGATAAAACCCAAATCCTGTACTAGAACTACTTAGTTTACATGACTAGTCGTAAGTAACATTGTAGAGGCATAGAAAGATAATTACTTTATGCCAATAAAAGAATCTACTTTGAATCTTCTTTGTAATGCAACCATAGCCATCAATACAGCTGTTAGCTCTTTTCATCTTCTGCCATGTAGTAAAGGCTATGCAACACAACTTATCTGAACAAGGCAGGACTTTACCCTTATGTACTGTTTTGTAGGTCATTAATTGGCAAAACCATCACCCTATGAATGTCAGCTGGTATCACAGATATCTGGCTGCTTAACAGATGCATAACCAATATCTTCATGAAGCAGCAATGCCCTTCCTTGTCATGCAGGTTTGCAAAGAGACTCACAATCCCTCCTTCAGCTAGCAATATAAACTTTGAGGGATTTTCAAAACAAAGTAACTCCAAAAGGGACAGAGGAGGAAGGTATGTGCAGGACTAGAAACAGGAGTGAGCTAGAAGATTGCAACCTCTGAATGAAGTGGACTTTCCAAGGAAAAGGAATGTCCCAGGTAAACTGAAACAAAAAGAACAGCTATTTCAAGAGACCCCTGCTTTTGTAGCAGTATGCCAATGTCTAGCTAGAAACTGTACTATGACTCTTTGATTTGTTCAATGGGTTCCTAAGTATCTCTATTTTCCTGGACAACTATCGGAAGTTGGATGTTCAATGTCAGCTTTCATTCATTTATATTTCACACTGGGCATAAATGTAATATTTTGCCTCTAAAATCCTTTTGTCATCAATTCTAATAACAACAATGATAATAATACTTTGTTGCCAACCAGCGGCATCGTGTGTTCTGGCTGAAGCATTGCATCTTATTTTAAACTCTTCTCTTTTCTCTCATTTGGAAGCAGTTGCCCTATTGAGGCAACTCTGAATTGTTCACAGTTTTAATATCTAAAGTTGTTACACTTTTTCTTTTTTTAAAAAAAAAGTCTGACTTGACTTTGCTGACACTGATCCTTTTTTGGGTGGTGCTATGGATGAAACCTCAAGTCACATGCTTCTATGCCACACACCCACGGCTTGCAGAATAGATTTCTTTTAACCCTTTTAATTGCCAATAAGGCCACACAGAGTGTGGGAGCCCTATCTGGCTCACAGCTTGGGGTTAGGGAGATGACACCAAGTAAGGCGTTCTCACAAAGCTACGTGGCAGCAGGGGAAGCTACTAAGGCACTACCCCAAAAGACAGGAAGGCAGAGCTAGGATGTGGCTGGTGAAGCAAGTTTGAGACTTCCAGCCTTCCATCTTACCAGTTCAGCTTTGCCCCCACAACATACCATAAACGCACTGTTGCAAAGTACTGAGTCTTTTACCATAATTTAAACCAAAGTCAAACTATGTAAGTGGGATGCCAGCACATTATAATGTTTACAGACACTGCAAATGCATCATCTGAGGCTTTCTAAAAGAGAAAACATCCATACATGACTGCACGTGGAAAATTTAACTCTCCACTAACACACTTTGATCTGATTTCAAGCCACAGATTTCGTTCAGTATTTTTCAAACTGCCATATTTCCTGCAAGGATTTAAAGCCCCAGAGTGTTTCTTTGTTAATTATTTAATTTATATGCCAATGTTTACATCCAAAGGCCGCCCGCCTCCAGGAACTTAATAAAACAAGTACATTAGTATTAAGACCACCTACTGAAATAAGCAGTACAAAATACAGCATCCCATGCATGAGGATCCAGAAGTGTTCCACTAAGTTCAATGTGGCTCGCATGTGCACAGAAATGCAGAATAAGAATACTGTACTGAGGTTTTTGCTTCACGGATGATAAGAATTTGGCTTGTGGTGCTTTTTAAATACATTTATATACAATATATTTATTTAGCTACCAAATATATATAGCTATTTAAAATAGTATTTTTCCAACAGGCTAGAATTAAAGAAATTTAAAAACTTCATTTCATGAACTTGATCTTTTCTTGTTCAATAACGGTAGTCAGAAACAAAAACTTGTGGTATGGCCCTGTTCTTCTAACCTACTTTTAAGTATGTGAATCTGCCCACACACATAAAAAAAGACAAGTCCCATGGTCTCATCTAATCCTTTCTTATTTGGTTTTTCAAGGAATACAACCATGGACTCAAAAGAAGGGAGACTAGAAACACAAATTTCCTATTTCATCTAGCAATTTTAATATTCATGAACCACGGAGTTGTCTGTAGGAATACTTTATCAGCAAGTCCTTTGTATGCAGGTTCTTACCCACAGGAATGAACAAGCATCACAACATATTAATAAGGGATTTCACTAATAATTAAAATATAATTTCCTTGGTTCTATAAAGCACATTTTGGCATCTTATTAGGAAAAAGGAGCATATTTAATCAAAGTGGCTTTTACTGGCTAGGATCTTTATAGAGCAAGTAACATCTGATATCAAAGTACGTTAGGGCTACCAGACAATTGTTAGGCTGGAACAATCCAAGGAATTGCTAAATAGAAGCAAAGAATGGGGGCCGGGACACAGAAGGGAAGGCTCTGTATTGTTTTGCTGTGAACTGTGTGGAATTTTAGATCTGGTAGCCCTAGATAAGTGAAATAGATCCTCATCTTCTAGGCCTCCCCTTCATCCCACTATTAAAAGTCAGGCTTTTTGGTAATTTATTTCCATACTGCAACTGCATAAGCCAACCAGAAATGAGTTACAGGAGGTATTAATTCTTAAGAGGGAAATTCAATTAAAAGCCAGAAATACAGTGATCAAGAACAAAAAGGAGAGGGGAGGGAAGGGGAAGGGAATTTGGGGCATATGCAGGGAGATGTTAACAAATAGAGTGCACAAATTAAAGACTGAATGGGCCAAAAACGGAACAGGAGGGGAGAGGCCAAGCAAAACATAAAAGGAAACAATTTTAAAAGATGTGGGAGGGAAAACACCTCACTCTCTATACATATTAATGTGTCTATTTGCATTATTCAAAGCATAATATGATTTGGCAACAACTACCTTTTGAACTAGTAATCAAAAAGTAGCTCCTGCCATTATCAGCAAGCAGGCATTTTGTAATTGAATTCTCTTATTCTGATCTGGGGAAATACTTCCCATCTGTCTCAGATAAAAATATGGTTTCAACTGGATTCACCATGTTCCATTCTGCAAGCAAAACTGGAAAGGAAAGCTGACTTTTCTATTTTTGTGGCTTCCTAAAGATACCACTGATAATCTTCACAAAAATGTGATTCCCCAGCTTGTAGTTCCTGGATCATATGGCTAACTATGAAGTTAGTTAAGCAAATAAGGGCATATGAGGTATAGGAAGAAATAAAAAAAAGGAAAAGAAGGCTCTACAGAACAATTGCTATGTGAAACAATGCATGTGGAATTACACAACTTTTTGATTAAAGTAATTTGCAATATTATCTCTACAGAACAAAGCCTAAAACACAGAAACACTTAAAGGTTATACATTTCTAATCTCTTTAATGATCAAGTCCAGTCTAACATTTGAATGAAATGACTGACAGACTGGAAAACAAGAACTGGGATCAGACATGTTTGTTTTAATATCAAGTAAATTGTGGGAGGTTGTGTATTCATAAAGTGGAATTCATAGTTTTTCTTTTGGGCTAAAACTGCATAATGCTTACTCAGAAACAAGAGGTATCACATTCTTGAGTTCCTTGAGATCTTTGTAAAACGTATAACTTTCCAATAGTTCTAATCTCTAAAACTGATATATAAATATTAGTGAACTATATCTTTGCAAACAATCTTTTACATTGGAAATAAATTCTTTAAATTGATATATTAAATACCAAATGTTAATATGACATCAGAATCTATTATTCAATCATTATTTCAGGCCAACAAATGGAATCAGAACTGTTGAGGCCTGGATGTTGAAGGAGATGAGGGAGCAGTGCCAATTCTCTGAGGCACGAGTGCCGTATGAAACTCAGAGAAAGTCTGGTGCCACCTTTTAACCCTAACAAATTTTATTATAAGGCATAAGCTTTTGTGAGCTGCATCTCACTTTATCAGATGCTTAGGCTTTATAATAAAATTGGTTAGTTTTAACAGGTACAATCATACTCTTTCTGAATTTTGGCTATCATAGGGTAACATAGTTCTCCTTCAGAACCTTTACAAATATGAAAAAAAAGGTATATAACTTCATATCTTCAATATTTCTTGGTACTAGCAATTGGAGGTGGGTTCTCTCGATACAGTAATTCATTTTAGTAGTTTTATGAAGCTACATCTATTTGGAACAATTCTAAAAGATGCAAACGTGACTGTGAATCTCCAACACATATGCAGTAACCAAGAAGAAAAAAATACAGAGAGATTTAGCCATACAAGTACCGCTTTTCTGCAGTTGCTCTTAAAAATGACTATGGACTGTATTATAGCTTTTGTAAAAAGTGGGATTAAAGATGATTAAGAAGGAGGAAGTTTGAGCAGGAGAGCTCACCTTGCAACAGCTTATAAAAAAAATTTTTTTGAAGCTATTTTTCAAAAGTTGGAGCTTAGAATAACATAATCCAGAAAGAACCCGCACAGAGTAAGTCCTACAGAACTAGCCAAATTGGACTCAAAATAAAGACAATTTACCTGAAAAGAACATGTTTGACATTCAAAACAATCCCCTGCTCTTTGCAATCCAATGCCAAAGATGGGAAAATACATCTACGGCAACTGAAGGCTGTAAAACGCCCACCGGTTATATAGAAGTGCAGGGTGAAGGTTATCAGCTGCAGAGAGGACATCTCTGAAGCTGAACAACTTTCAGAACAGTTAAACTCACCACCACAGTG